CTGTATCATATTACCGATCTTTTAATTTTTTTTAATGAAGGTTTTTGTAAATTTTCGCGTAACCACAATTTGTTAAAATTTAATCAATTTGTCTATAACAAATAAATACTTGGATGATTTTTTTTAATTTTTTAATTTTTCGGTGTTATACAATAGTTAAATGTCATATCTTTAACTACATATAAGTTTAGGGGCATTCGCTACAAGATGTCGCAGTTTTCCATACAAAAAATATATTTGTCTTAAAGTATCGCAGTTTGAGGGCTCTGGTAATATGCATAGTAACTTTATTGTTTTGTAAACGACACAATAAAATTTGCTTGCACTCAAATAAACTAGATATATTATGATACCAATAAAAATGCAATTTAAGCAAAAGCGTATTTTGGATAACGTCGCCAGCTCTGTTTACTATGTCGTACTATGGAATAGTGAGATGTTTACTACCTCATTGGAAATTTAAGAATTATATATGAATATATTTATCACCATACTGTTATGTTTGATTTTGTTTTCAATAGGGCTAATTGAGAACTGTAAGCCTTCGAGTTTATTTATTCGTATTTATTACGTAAGTTGGTTGACGAGACGACTTCCGATTTTTTAAGCAAATGAACAGGATTACAGCTTTCCTTAAACACATATCGTTGAAGTCCTCAATTATAATATCGTCAATAGAGTTTAACTTTCGCGTCCTAATTTCCGAAATTAATGAAATTATTTGTCTAATGTATCTATGTATAATTAATGTTAAGCTAACACTAAAACGTCAAATAAAAATGGCATTTGCGTTATTGTTTTTGATGGGTGGACTAGAATTTGATTTTAGTTATCTACGTAAAATCAAATTCTGGTCCACCCAGCCCGAGCCCATAGATATCAACAACGTAAATGCCGCCAACCACCTTGAAACATAAATTCTAAGTCTCCGTTTTATACCACAACGGTTAGATAATAATAAAATGCAAAAATAAGTAGTAAGGTACTTTATATTTCGGTAAATGCAAATCAATTTTGTGAACTACTTGCATAATTTATTTCCTTTTGACAGCAGCGATAGCTTGTCATTTCACGTTAATATGGTCAAAAGTTCAAATAGGTTGATGATTCAGAGGACATGATAATAGCGTGTTCGGATACTAATAAGAATAAGAAGATACGTATAAATACTGCTAGCTCATAATTCGTCTATAGCTCTAAACACATCATTACGGATCCTCCCGATCCATTAGCGATGCTTTTAGGTACCTCAAGCACCGGTCACCGTACTTGCCGAACCCGACGCTTGCGACGAAGGGCTCGACGAGTAATTTAACCCACGGACACAGCCCACTGTGAGTTTCTCGCCGGATCTTCTCAGTGGGTCGCGTTTCCGATGCGGTGGTAGATTCTGCGAAGCACTGCTCTTGCTAAGGACAGTATTAGCAACACTCACGGTTTGAACCCTGTGAGCTCACCTACTAGCTCGGTCAATCTAGAATAACCCTTCGAGGTAACTAGAATTGGTAGGAAAAAAAAAATTCGTCTATTGTAGACAGATATACGGCGTAGGGACAAATCTAGAGAATACAATATTTATTTAACAATAAAGCGCGGTAGGTTTTCAAATGAAGTCCTCATGGTCAAGGTAAAGGATAAGGCGGTAGGATTGCTCGTATCGAGCGATACCACTAAGCCGCTGCTCAATCTCGTAGGCATATACCCCAATACTCCTAATGAAATACTTCCCTAACAAATGTTTTTTTTATTGTTTTTCTGGTGTTAAGTGGTAACCGGAACTCATATACATTAACAACGTAGATTCCGTTAAGACATGAGTTGTATGTCTTAGTTTTAGGGTATAAGGACTGTTTCACACTTCAGATACAAACAAAAATAGGCTGAGCGGTGATACCTACTCGAGCGAGCTTATAAAACACCCGACTGCCAGTAATTACGCATTTTATAATTTTTGCGGGTCTGACTTTTATTACACAATGATGTTCCCGCATGCCTTTACGAACGAAGAATAATATCGTGTAATAAAAATTGTACTGGAAAGTCCTTTGTGTAATTAATTGGTTACGGTAGTAGGACGTTTATTACAGTAGTAGGGAGTATTGTAAACTGGTTTACACTGGTGGTAGGACCTCTTGTGAGTCCGCACGGGTAGGTACCACCGCCCCGCCTATTTCTGCCGTGAAGCAGTAATGCGTTTCGGTTTGAAGGGTGGGGCAGCCGTTGTAACTATACTGAGACCTTAGAACTATATCTCAAGGTGTGTGGCGCATTTATATTGTGGATGTCTATGGGCTCCAGTAACCACTTAACACCAGGTGGGCTGTGAGCTCGTCCACCCTCTAAGCAATAAAAAAAAAAAAACTCCAATGGGTTGATACTTGACTATTCGTAGAGCAGCTATGCGTCATAAAATAAAACTCAAGCTTTTATCGATGAAATAAATAATAACGCAAAGACAGCTTGTCTCCGTGACGGCGAGAACGCGGACTACGCGTAATTTAATTTCTTATTTGAGTCGACTATTATCAAAGCCGGCAATGTGACGTTTAGACAATTATTGGTAAATCAGAAAAACGAATTATTGACTTTGTATTCCATCGGCAGTCACAAAACTCTTCTGAACGACATCTTAGATAAATAACAGGTTAAGTATTAATCTTTATTTAATGCAGGTTTTGAACCGTATTCTTTGAAGGAGACGATTATATTCAAATCAATCTGTATTGACATATCAATAACATTTTTTTGTCCAAAGGCACAGATTGCCACCTTTGATAATAGACGACTCATTTACCTACATTGAGGGTAATACAAAACCATTATGAACAGTAATGAAGGAATGTTTTTTTTTTTCTAGTAAATTCTATAGTTCTTTTAACGTTTTTGGGGACGATGCTTAAGTATCTTGCATAGGAATAGCAGTACTGCAGTGGTGTTCTGAAGATTCCATTTTCAAGTTCGTCATTAAAACTGGAACGGATGATCACTTTGCGGCAAAATTAGATCTAGTGTTTGACTTCCCAAATATTTATTTAATACTTTCGCAGCTTTCTACACTGATAATTAATCAAAGGCTTTTTAGTGCGTTTTTTTTTTACTTTTAATATTTTCCACCGATAGAACTCGATGACTCGCCTCGAGAATAATCATAATTTTTCTATCACACTTTGAGAAGAAGTGGTTTTAAGTGGTGGTAACACCCAAAAATGAATTAGAAAGTGAGATTTGTTTGTTCCTATGTTCCTACAAGCAGTCTTCAGTATACCCGTGACCATGATGCTTGAAAAGGCGCCGAAATATCGGGAGCTTATTTATTACTTACCTGATTTAGTAACTAGGCAGGGTTGAATGTTTCTGGCGACTGATAGTCGTTGAGGTAATTTCTGTACCAAAAATTCGTTAGAAAAATAATTTGTATTATAAAATATATTACATTTAAATTAACTAGATAATTTAGAAACAAATGACGCGGTATCTTAAAAGATTCACAAGTTGAATTATCTTATGATGTTCGTCATTAAAATATGTAGGATTCCAAGTATCTCGGGCCCAATTTATCGCTTCCGAATTCTACAGATAAGACATGTATCCTGTTTAAGAGCTTTTGCATTGTTATCAATACTCTGTTTTCGCTCACTTTTGTTAAAGCCAATGTTTTTAAAATTCTGACAAGATAACGAGGCAAGCTTGCGTTTTCTTGAAATGAAGGTTTTTTGAAATTTAAAAAAATTTAATGAATAGTTAGAATAGATAGTTAATACGTAAAAGAAAACACAAGTGTGTATGGAACATGTTTTAATATTTTTTTTTTTGTAAATGGTCATTTTCTAAGATCTCCCGTTCACACTCACGCGCTTAATATAAATTATGCACAAAAGCTGCAATATTATAGTAATACTGTGTTTAAACAATTTTTTTAAATCTTACCTGTGCTGATAGCTTTGAGAGGTTATATCAGCGTGACCCTAGCGTGTAGGTGAGTTCTCGGGGCTCAAACCGGAGATGAGTTCTAACATAATATTAGGCATTATAATAATTATCAGATAAAAATAAACACTCGTGAGGTCAAACATTAGTTTATTAGTTCTTTATATACCTACATATAGTTAATGATATGATGTTGTGTTTTTTTTTATTTTCATCGAAGACAGACGCGATATGTGGTCATAATTGCTCATGAACATCATTATTTCTGGGAGCAAGAGTGAGCTGCTGCCCGCCAGAAAATAACTTTTTTATTGTATTTTAAATATTAAAAATAGATATATTGTTATAAACTTATTATTCAATCAATAAAAAATGTTAATAAAATCTGATGTTTTTAAATGAGCATCAAAAATGAAACTGTAGTTCTTACCAGATGTGCACAAGTTACAGATATGATATAATGGTAATAATACCATGGCCCATGGCAGGTAGTTGGATAACCGAAGTATAGAAAATAACTTTGTAAGTTAACCATCGTCGGTCGGTGGCCGCAAGGACGTTGGTGCGCGGGCGGAGGCGATCGTCAACGACATCTCATCCAATCGTATCCGCGTGTTCGTGGTGTGCGTGCATTTTTGTGTCCGCACACGAAGTCTTGGCGGGCAAGACGACGGTTAGTGTGGCCAACTTTTAAGTTTTTTTTTCGCTTCCGAAGCGGTTTGATTTTGTTTTTATTTATTTTTACATTGGGAGAATATTCAGTACGTTTATTGGACTTGATAAAAAATTTACATATTTTGTAAAAGTTAATTTTTTCTTCGGTGATGATTACCTGTTTGATTTTTTTTTCTAGATAAAAAAATTACAGATGTTTTACTATAAAATTAAAATTAAATTATAAAATCTATAAAATTGTGTGTCAAATGTATAAAATGTGTTGCGTCTAAGCAATCGTTTTCTAACTTGAAAATTTTAAGCTTCTAATTCGCGCCCTGATAATATTTATTAGAAAGAGAGCGCACGCGTGCGTTGGTTCTTTCGCTCCATTCACTCACACTGTTGCGTTTCGTTGACAGAGCCGGTTGTGTGCGCTGTATCGGAGATTTGTTTTTTTAGTTTTCGTGCGTATTCAACCACTTGTTTCTTTACCGATCGGTGACTGCAAGTGTTTTACGTTTTGATAAATAATCTGAAACTTGTATTTTACATTTAGAACTATAGTTTAGGATAGTTCATTAACAGATTGATATAGAATCGGGTGAAATTTATGCCAAGTGAAGTCCAGATGTTAGAGCGAGCGACAATAACCTCGTTTTATGTCAACAAATAATAATAAACAGTGATTGGGACAAGTTATAGTTGCCGATCCGGACAAAAGTGATGAATTAAACAATACTCAGAACTGGATGTATTGCTTGAGAATGGCTTCGTGTGCCTTCGGAACGTGAATATCGTGGAGGCTTCACCCACATAACGTTTATGGTAAGTAAAAAGTTTCATGTTTTGTTTCGTAACTCCTTCGAGGTTTTATAGTACCGGTTCGTGGTAACTTTTTAAGTTTTCCCTTTGCCTTTTATGTTTTTTTTTACTGTAATGATAGTTGATAGGCGCCAACCTATTTTGGATGTGCTTTCGAGGTTGTGAATAATTAATTGATTACGCCTTTACTAGAATAGGTAGGAAAAAAAGTGTTCGAGATTCTCGCCGGATCTTCTTTCTTGCCGGATCTTCTCAGTGGGACATCCGGTATTTGTTAAACGTCAGGCAGCCTATAAAACCCGTTTGCTCAATTTAGTTACTTTAAAAAAAAAACGTGAATTCTAGCACTAACATAAATGTACCACCCGACACCCACCTATCCAAGAGAGCACTGACCTGGAAAAGTTTCTGGCAAAAGGAAGAGAGGCCGTCCCAGAACAACTTGGCGTCGCTCGGCTTAGCAGGAGCTGGGCGTCTTGAGCATGACATTATATGAAACTTGCATAACTAAATCTATATACCTATAAAGAAATGTTTTGAAACTGTTGTGACTTCCATGTTTTGAATGTTTTGTGACTTCCACGGTGAAGGAATAATAACATCGTGTAATAAAAATCAAACCCGCAAAGTTATAATTTGCGTGATTACCGGTGGTAGGACCTCTTGTGAGTCCGCAAGGGTAGGTACCACCACCCTGCATATTTCTGCCGTGAAGCAGCAATGCGTTTCGGTTTGAAGGGTGAAAAAATTTTTTTCGTGCGACATTTTAACTGCGTGCCAAAAAGCACTAGCATATTATTTTGAATAAACATTTAAAAAAAAACAAAGATAAGTGGACGACATTACGCCGCACGGGAAGCTGTACAGGTTCTATTATCTCTGACCTTTACCTTACGCTCGAGTCCGTAACACTACACGACAACATCGGCCTAGGCAGACTGCATGACGATCAACATGTTTTCATTACAAATATTACAATAACATCGACTTAATTTATCCAAAAGCAGTCGACCAAATGTTAATTATTCGACAGCATGATTTAACTTTTGCAGATGAAGTTTTGTATGGGTAGCTGTTAGCTATAATAGAATAGAAGATGTTTGACAAATCCTGAATCGCGCCAGCAACTTTTTTTTATTGTTTTTTTTTGCTTAGATGGCTAGACGAGCTCACAGCCCACCTGGTGTTAAGTGGTCACTGGAGCCTATAGACATCTACAACGTAAATACGCCACCCACCTTGAGATAAGGTCTCAAATATAGTTAAAACGGTTACCCCACCCTTCAAACCAAAACGTATTATTGTTGCACGGCAAAAATAGGCGGGGTGGTGGTACCTACCTGTGCGGACACACAAGAGGTCGTACTACCAGTAATTATGCGAAACATAATTTTGCGGGTTTGATTTTTATTACACGATCCATTTTCATCCATTATTATCCATTTCCATTTATTTATTTTAAAATTACTGTCCTACCCTGTAAATACTGATGCAAGATTCTACGCGACAGAATTAAAAAGGACTGTGGTGCCGACTTCATACCAGTTCACCATACTATTTACTTTATTGGAATACTTTTTCTTAGTTTTATCACGCATTCGTGGATTCAATTTTAAAATTGTAGTTTAAACGTAAAACGAGAATATTCCCATATCTGCAATATCCATAATCTGTATCCCAGGTGTCCTGGTATATCTCTGTTTATTATTATTGTTTTAAAGTTCGCTGCGGACGTTAAGTGATTAATTGAGTAAAATAGAGCTTTTAACCTATAATGTTCTTGTCGTCGAAAAAGCATATAAATAACCCTGTTAAGTTTACTGTACTTAATACATTTTATTATTTACTAACTGACCCGACGAAATTTGTTTCGCCTTAGAGGCAATAAATAAGCAGACTTTTGATTTTATCAAGGTCAATTTTTTACTTGGATAATTAATGTAAATTAAAAAAGCAAGTATTTTAATGATTCTTTATTGGCCATGTATTTTTGTTGTTATTATTATTATTATTGTATTTTCTTGTTCTTCTTCCGTCCTTTCACTCGCAATGTTTCGAATCCTAGTTGCCTTACGACTTTGTCGGGAAAGATTTGATCGTGTTGGTCGCGACATTTTCTTAAAATTACCTATCTCGGCACAATAAGCTAATAGAAACTCGAAACAAACCATCAACCGGTCAACTTCGAAATTCTACTATAACTAACCATAGCACGTTTAGCTGTCAGTTGCGCTTTGTTATTCCATATCAGTTGCGTTTTGTTATACCACGTTTTATGTCATGTCTGACGGGAACGTGATAAAAAGTATCCTTTATCCTTTTCCTGGCTCTAAATCAAATTAAATCAACTATCTCCCCACCAACTTTCAGCCAAATCAACTCAGCCGTTCTTGAGTTATAAATAGTGTAACTAACACGACTTTCTTTTATATATATAGAAAAATATAGATATAGATTTTGCAAGCCACGTAAAGTTAATTCATTTATTGACCAAATTGCGGATATATGGATGCGTATAGCTTCAGCATAAAATTTCATTCCTCTTTGGAAAGCCAAAGCTAATAACTTTAATGTTAGAGCCGGCAGAAGGCCGGGATTTCCATCGTTCCATCGGGATCGTTCATCTTTTTCTTACATTCGCTTTAGAGAGAGATACAGAGAGGTTTACCGATTCCGTATGAAAGTACAGTGTGCGTCTGAGCTTCAGGACGAATTCGTCTAAATACCCAAATACCAAATATCCGATCGATGCGAATCGAATCAGATTCAAATTTCACACACATTCAATAGATTAATATCTTAAATTGCGTGTCCTATCATTCGACGACTCACATAATTGCATTGCAACAACTCATTGCTTTCGATGCGTGAACAATTTGCATTTATTGCTGCCATCTTCTTAAATTGGACGTCGTTAAACGAAAAGGATCCAATTAAGATACGGTTTCGAGAATTCAATTTTGATTTTGACACTCGTCGCAGATGTGTGTGATGAGCCAAGCTTGATCTTGTGTAAGGGGTTCCCGAAAAACGGTCTGGTATTTCTGGTATGTATCAAACGCGAATATTATACCAGATTGTTTTTGCGGACTAAACATCCATACATATTATAAATGTGCCAATAATTTAAAGTGTTTTTACGGTTTAAACTCGTGTTAATCAATAAACAGTTTCAATTATGTTTACGAGTCACCAAAACTGAACAAAACACACTCAAGTGTTTAAAATTGACACTATATTTATATAAACTACTAGCGACCCGCCCTCGTTTCGCTTCGGAAACATTAAAACACACATGAAACCAAAAAAAATAAATAAATAAAAGTAGCCTATGTTCATCAGGGACAATGTCGGCTTCTAATGGAAAAAGAATTTTTCAAATCGGTCCAGTAGTTTCGGAGCCTATTCGAAACAAACAAACAAACAAATCTTTCCTCTTTATAATATTAGTATAGATTGGTCGCCCGGTAGTCGAAATTCGACTATAATTAATTGAAATTATAAGTTTGTAAACTATTATGACTCTATTGTCAAAGGCTAATAATACATTCCTTCACAGATTTCGCCAACAATACACTTTAGACAAATATTAATAAAGACAAACAATAATTAATCTTTTTTTTAAAGGAATTTTATGACCTGGTCTTATTTTAATTTATATTCATATTTTTATGAAAAATGATATTATGGAGTGAAATGAAATGAAGATGATTAATTTGAGACATTAATCAACTGGGATGAAATGAAATGAAATGAAATGAGATGATATGGGATGAAATATAATCTCAGTAAAATGGTCATTTACTAAGATTTTTTCAGTGGACTTTTTGGAGGATCCCGAGAAGTTACGTCCTTGGTTTTGTTTCATTTTCCTACATTTGTGCACTTTCCAGATATTAAACAGTTAATAAACCACCATTATTACACATTTAAACCCGAAGAAACACTAAATAGACAAAATAAAACAAATCACACAACTTCACTCCTTGCGTTCCCGCCAAAAAGTCCAATAATTAATCTATTCTCAATTTGACCACAGACTATAAGTTATGCAATAAAAAAAGTTTGACAATAAATAAAGAGTATGCATACGTGTGTGTGTCAAATACATGGTAGTGTGTGTAATGTTTTTTTAATGCATAATATAAAAAAAAATATTAGCATTCTGTACTCCTGTATATTCTCTAAAAGTGTGGGAAATGTCATACTCCTCCGCCCACGCAATTTTCCTGAAAGGAGGTATAACGTTTTTGCTTCACGTATTAATATATAGATATAAGCTTTCAATTATTTTTTTAGCGCATGTAGTGTATTTAAGTTGATAAACTTCAAATTATTATTGTATTTGAACAACCGACGAAATTCACCTGATCTGCTATAGACATAACAAAATGAACGGAGCTTAGATATCAGTTTCTATGACCACTTAATTCTGGGTGAACTTGGTGAGCTTTCGTCCGCCTATCGCCAAAGAATAATAAAACCTTTTTTTTGTTTTAAAATTTGTTGCGCGTGATCTCAAGAAGCCTCGTTCTCGAGTGCTTGTATGTACTATAAGTTCAATGGCTAACTAGGGTTGTTACTGATATCAATTAAAGTTTTTCATAAAATATTGTTACGCGCTGGGGTTCGGGATAAATAAAAATTCTACCGAAGTACAAATTAACACTGTATTAACACTAAGAACACTCACAGAATACTTTAAAATTCTTAATTCACTTCTTCCGTTTCGCTTCAGGTGATCAGTTCGCTGTTTCGCTTCGAGTAGTTTCGATTACTAACTGACTTCATGCCATCTCTGTATCACTTTTAAAGTCGATACGACATGCCTAGATTTATCGAAAGCATTCTGGGCAAGTCGAGTAGCTTCGATGCGTGTTTCCGCTATCTGACAACAGATGGCGTTGTACTTCGCGAGCGTTCTTAATGTTACTAGTACCTTTAATATTAGTTTTTGCTATTCGGCAATAGATGGCGTTACTCTTACCGGAGTAACAATAATT